TAACACAAAGCATTAACATAAAGTTTCGATAAAAACATATAAATATAAACATTACAAATTATAACTTTCACGTGTATCATATACAGGCTTGTGGTCTGGTTCCCCAAAACAAAAACAATAATAAATTGGTCATTTTCAATCCATGGTTGTTTGTGGGACACTGCTGTGCACAATTGACTTCCGCGTTTCGCCCACAAATATACAGTCAATTCACTTTATAGCATATTCTGTGAAGCGCTTTGAGACATCTGGAAGACGTGCAATGCAATGCAATGCAAGGATTATTATTTATTATTTTTCACGAATCCTAATAATAAAAAGAAATCCAGAATGGACTTTTAACCTTTATTGTCCTTTTAGATGGAAGATACCTTTTAGCCTTGATGGGTTTCCAAATGATATATTTTTGAGGTAAGTCAGTGATTTTTCTCCTGCATGTGCAATGTCATGTGCGAAAAGCCCTTTAAACCACAAGTTGTTTTCATTTTAGCTTATTTATTGAACATCTTTTGGATTAAATATTTTAATATAATAGAATACAGTAGTAATCTCCTACTACAGTAAGGTGATGGCAATGTTCTTACTTAGGAACTGGCAGCAGATACTTAGGAACAGGCTGCAGATAATCCAGAACTCTGCAGCCCGTGTCCTCTTCCACACCAAACTCCGTGACCCCATCTTCCCCATTCTCACCCGACTCCATTGGCTCCCTATCCTTCAGAGGATCCAGTTCAAGATCCTGGTCCTCACATACAAAGCCCTCCATGGCCTCGCCCCACCCTACCTCTGCAACCTCCTAGCCCCCTACCAACCCACCCACTCCCTCAGCTCAGCCGGCTCCGGTCTGCTCCACGTACCCTGACCCACCCGCCCCACCATTGGCGGGAGAGCCTTCAGCCACTCTATCCCCAACCTTTGGAATTCCATCCCCCAGTCACTTTGCCTCACCCCCTTCTTAGCTTCCTTCAAGTCCCACCTCAAAACCCCCCTCTTCAACCATGCCATCAGCCACCCCCAATTCCCCTCCCCTCCCTTCATATGGGAGTCCTGTAGCTTATCGGTTAGAGCACTTGCCTAGTAAGCGAGAGGCCTTGGTTTTGATTCCTGGCAGGGCGAAACATTGGGCACGTTTCCTTAGTCCACACACTTCTGTTTACCTAGCAGTAAATAGGGATCCAGTTGTTAGTCGATTGGTGGATCACTTTTCTGGGGATGATAATTCCTTCAAAATAATAAGTTTGGTCACTCAATCCATGACTGTTTGCGGGACACTGCTGTGTGCAATTGGCTGCAGTGTTTCGCCCACAAAATATACAATCAATTCACTTTACAGTATATTCTGCGAAGCACTTTGAGACGTCTTGAAGAGTTGATAAAGCACTGTATCAAATGCAAGGATTATTATTATTATGTTCCTCACACTCTCAGACACTTCCTCTGTCACACATTATCACTAACACTTTCATACGCACAATCTCTCCTCTCTTTCTTTCATAGTCTCTTACCTAATCCCTCACACATCTCACACACTCACATACACTCTTTCTCACACACTCACACTTTGCTTCTCACACAGTTTCTCTCTCTCACACAGTCTCTATTGGCCTTGGAGTCAGGCTCCTCCACTGTTGAGTGCTCTGAGACGCTAACCTGCGTGCAGGGCACTATATAAGTGCAAGTTGTTGTTGTGCACACACCTCTCACTCACACATTTTCCCCACCCACGCTCTCACTCACTCTTTCCTACACAATCTCACATACTTTCTTCTTTCCTATGTCCATCTCTCTCACTCCCCTCTTTCTCTCAGCCTCTGTCTATCTCTATCTCGCATACACACTCACACACTCACTTTCTCACACCCTCTCACAAACACTTTAGCTCATACTCTCTCACATTCTCTATCTCACCCTCTGTGTGTGTCTCTTAACACATTATCAATCTCATTCTCTCTCGCTCTCACTTACATATATTCTCATTTATTCTCTCTATCTCTTTCATATTCTTCTCACAAAGTCTGTCTCTCTTCAACACACTCACACTCTCTCGCTCTCACACTCCCTCACATGCTTTCCCCCCTCTTTCCCCCTCTCTCTCCTCTCTTCCTTTCTCTCTCTCACACTTTCCCCACCCTTCTCTCCCACTCTCTCACACTCTCCATCCCTCTTTCTATCTCTCTCTTTTCCCTCCCTCTATCCCCATCTCTCTCACCTCTCTCATACTACCTCTATCCCCGTTCTTTCTCTCTCCCCTTTCTTTCTCTCATATTCCCTCTCTCCCCCTCTCTCTATCTTTCCCCTCTCCACGCTCCCTCTCTTTCACTTCTCTCTGTTTCTCCCCTCTCTTTCTTTCACATTCCCTTTCTCCCCCACTCTTATCCCCTCTCTTTCCTTCACACATCCTCTCTCTGACATCTCTCTCCCTCTCTTTCCCTTCTCTCTCTCCCTCTCTCTCACACATACTCCCTTCCCTCTCTCTCACACACACACTCTCTCTTTCCTCTCTATCTCTCTTCCCTCCTCTCCCTCCACCCCACTATTTCTTTCTCTTCCTCTCCCCCCTCTCTCACACATTCCATCTCTCTCTCCCTCCTCCTCTCTCTCCCCCTCTCTCCACCCTTCCCTCTCTCTCTCTTTCTCCCCTCTCTCACCTCCTCCTCTATCCATTTCTCTCTCACACACTCTGTCTCTCTTCCCTCGCACTATATTTTTCTATCTCACATTATGTCTTTCTCCTCTCTCTATTTCTCTCTCTCTCTGTATATATATATATATATATATTTCTCTCACACTGGCTTTCCCCTCTCTCTATTTCTCTCTCTCACTTTTTCTCTCCCCCTCTCTATTTCTCTAACTCTCTCCCCTTTCTCTCCATTTCTCCTTCTCCCCCGTTCTGTCTCTCTCCCTTTCTTTCTAGTTCTCATACTTTCTCTCTCTCTATTTCTCTAACTCTCCTCTACCTCTCTCCCCTCTACTTTTCTCTCACTCTATCTATTTCTCTGTCTCTCTGCCCTCTCTCTATCTATTTCTCTCTTTCATACTGTCTCTCTCCCACCCCCTCTCTCTCATTCTCCCCTCTCTATTTCTCTCATACACACTCTCTCAATCTCTCTCCACCTCTCTCCCACTGCTCTCTTTTTCGCTCACACAATCTTTTTCTCTATTTCTCTCTCTCTCTCTCTCTCTCTCACTCTCTCTCCCATCTCAATCTCTCTCTCACACACACTCTCCCCTCTCTATATCTATTTCTCTCTTTCACACTCTGTCTCTCCCTTCTGTCACTCTCTTCCCCCCCACCCTCTCTATTCCTCTCATACACACACTCTCTCTCTCCATTTCTCTTAATCCCCCCCCTCTCTTCACCTCCTCTCTCTTTCTCCCAACCCCCCACTCTCTCTCCCCCCCTTCTCTCCCCCTCCTCTCTCTATTCCCCCGCCTCCTCTCTCTCCCAATCTCTCTCTCTTACTTTCTCTCCCCCCATCTCTCACCCCCCCCCTCTCCATCCACCCCCTCTCTCTCTCCTCCTCCCCCTCTCTCTCCCCCTTTCTCCACCCCCCTCTCTCTCCCCCTCTCTCCATCCTCCCTCTCTCTCCCCCCTCTCTCTACCCCCCTCTCTCCCCCTCCCCCTTCTCTCCCCCCCTCTCCGTTTCCCTTTCCCCCCTCTCTCCACTCCCCCTCTCCCTATCCCTCCCCCTCTCCCCCCTCTCCCTCTCCCCCCTCCCTCCTCCCTATCCCCCTTCTCTCCATTCCCCCCTCTCCCCCCCCTCCTCTCCCTACCCCTCCTCCCTATTCCCTCTCTCTCCATTCGCCCCTCTCTCTCTCTCTCTCTCTCCCTCTCCCTTCTCTCTCCCCCCCCCTCTCCCTATCCCCCCCTCCCTATCCTCCCTCTCTCCATTCCCCCCGCTCTCTCTCCCTCTCCCTTCTCTCTATTCCCCCCCTCCCTATGCCCCTCTCTCCATTCCCCCCTCTCTCTCTCCCCCTTCTCTCTCTACCCCCTCTCCCTATCCCCCCCCCTCCCTATGCCCCCTCTCTCCATCCCCCCTTCTCTCGCCCCTTCCCCCCCTCTCTCGCCCCTTCCCCTTCTCTCTCTCCCTCTCTCCCCCCCTCTCTCTCTCTCCCTCTTCTCCCTATTCCCCACCCCCTCCCTACGCCCCCTCTCTCCATTCCCCCTTCTCTCTCTCCCCCTCCCCCTTTTCTCTCTCCCCCCTCCCTATTCCCCCTCCCTAGCCCCCCTCCCTATCCCCCTCTCTCTCCATTCCCCCCCTCTCTCTCCCCCATCTCCCCCCCTCTCTCCACACCCCCTCCCTATCCCTCCCCCTTCTCCCTCTCCCCACTCTCCCTATCCCCCCCTCCCTCCTCCCTATCCCCCTCTCTCCATTCCCCTCTCTCCCCCCTCCTCTCCCTACCTCCTCCTCCCTACCCCCTCTCTCCATTCCCCCCCTCCCTCTCCATTCCCCCCTCTCTCTCTCCCCCCTCTCTCTCTCCCCCCCTCTCTCTCCCCCCTCTCCCTATGCCCCCCTCCCTATCCCCCTCTCTCCATCCCCCTCTCTCCATTCCCCCCCTCCCTATCCCCCCTCTCTTCATTCCCCCCCTCCCTATCCCCCCCTCTCTCCATTCCCCCTCTCTCTCCATTCCCTCTCTCTCTCCATTCCCCCCCTCTCTCCATTCCCCCCCTCTCTCCATTCCCCCTCTCTCTCTCCCCACTCTCTCTCCCCCCTCTCCCTATGCCCCCCTCCCTATCCCCCCCTCTCCCTATCCCCCCCTCTCCCTATCCCCCCTCCCTATCCCCCCTCTCCCTCCCCTCCCCCCCCCCCCCCCCCCGGTGGCTGAGCTGCAGTGTGATTGGCCGCGGGGTTGGCCGGCGGCACGCGCCGCTGTGTGCAGTATAAGAGCGCTCGCGTGCCGTCCCCGGGGGTCAGTCACCGGCGCTGCACCGCGAGGCCGGGACCGCGGGGGCGGGGGAAGGGGGGGGAAAGGTGCGCGTGGGGAGAGACGGAGCCGCCATGGACACGGCGCTGGAGCACTTCCCGGGACTCGACAGCTTCTCGGCCGCCTACTTCGACGACGAGGACTTCTTCACGGACCAGTCGTCCAGGGACCACCTGGACGGGGACGAGCTGCTGGAGGAGGACGTGGACTTTCTGAGCAGCCAACTCAGCGAGTACTACAGGGAGGGCGAGCACTGCGACTCGGGCATCCTGTCCTTCACCTCCTCCTCCTCCTCCTTCTCCTTCGACTGCCTGGACAGCGCGGCCGAGGTGTCCCCCCGGCTCAAGGGCATCGGCAGCCTGGCCAGGAGGCGCAGGAGGGTCCGCTCGGAGGTCGAAATGCAGCATCTCCGACAGGCAGCCAACGTGCGGGAGCGCAGGAGGATGCAATCCATCAACGATGCCTTCGAAGGGCTCCGGACTCACATCCCCACCCTCCCCTACGAGAAGAGACTCTCCAAAGTCGATACCCTCCGACTGGCCATCGGGTACATTAACTTCCTCTCGGAGTTGGTGCAATCGGACACGCCTTTGAGAAACCCCGGACACGATCCCGCAAATCAACCGAAAAAAGTCATCATCTGCCACAGGGGTGCAAGTAAGTGGCTCGCGTTTACTCTGCGAACGGCTGAACATTTTTTTTTTTTTGGGGGGGGGAGAATGCGCTGCGTTAACCTTTCCTTCCCATCACCTCGAGGGCTTTCACGCAAAGGCGATTTGCAGCGGCTTCCTTTCGCTGTTCGGGCTCAAACGCCACTGGCGAAACGCTGGCGGAGGCGTTTGCGAGGGGAGGGTAACCTCTCCGGGTGTTTTTCGTTGGGGTGAAATGTGTTTGATTCATTTCTCTTCTTTTTTTTGTTGTTGTTTCCTCCTCTGCCAGGGTCGCCCTCTCCAAACGATCCAGACTATGGATTACCTCCTCTCGCGGGTCACTCCCTGTCCTGGACCGACGAGAAACAGCTCAAAGAACAAAATGTCATCAGGACGGCAAAAGTGTGGACCCCCGAAGACCCCAGAAAAACAAACACCAAACCCTCTGTGAACAACATCGAGAACGAGCCACCCTTTGACTATGTCTCGTAGATGTTGAATCGGTCATTTTCAATCCCCAATCGTGTATATTTAATGAAAATTAATATATTCCCATACGCAACTTTTCACGCGAAGATCAAGAATGTGTTGATATGTAAATCTATGAACCGTTAATTTATATATTTATTATCTGAATTAGTTCTGTGCAAAACTGCGTTCCGAAGGCTTAATATATTGAATTATGTTCTAATCAGTTGTCTTAACGATGTGTTCAATGATTGTATTCCGACTTTACGGTCTAATTGGTTATATTTGGATTTCTGACAAATATTTTTCAATATATAACAATTAATTTATTGTAATATATACCTTCTCCCCCTATACCTTGTAAAATAAAGCTGTTGAAGCAATATAAAAGTCTCTCGCTTTGAAAACAGGTGTGTTGGAACTTCTGCTGGACACAGTTTGGTTAAGATACACTTTCTAAGTGCATAACACTCTCCACACATGACACGACATAATCATTTCTGATTAAAAATGTCATATTGCAACTTGTTCCCCCCAAAAATAAAACTTTACCGCGGAATGAACTCCTGCATCAGTTATAACGTGGTATCTTCATTCACACAAGCCACTTACGATGTACATAAGCTCTTTCCCATCCTGGCAAAAAGCGCACCCCACCCCCCCCCCCCCCCACTCCACCCACACCACACACACACACACAACAAACAAACAAAAAAAAAGACATCTACTGTCTCAGTCAGTTTCAATAATTCTCGTTTCTACTGCCATGTGGGTTGTGACAACTCTGTTCCATTCTTCTCAGACTTTAAAAGTCATTCATAACCCGTAAAACACAATGAATTCTGGTAACACGAAGAACATAATGCAGAATCTACACACTACACAGACTTGACAGACCTCTGACTCAGGAAATCTATAAGACATTGGCAGTACAATGTAGTGCACAACGATTTTCATGTTATACAGTGCGCCTCGCGTCAATCACCCTGTGGACACATTATGCAAATAAAAGCAATACAATGTGTAGTGCTAACATTATACATGGCGAGGTTGGAAGTATCTATTTTGAAATGAATTACAGACAGCTAAAGTTATGACAAATGCTGCATTTCTCAAAATAAACCAATAGCTGGGTCCAACGGTGCTCTCCTCAACAAAAGAGGATCAAAGAAAGGTTCGACGTGAAGAATGTACTTTAAAAACGCGATAAAACTTAAATAAAAGTGATTCGATCTTGTAGATGCAATAAAATAAAATCCTCGGAAGAAATTCATTCCCCCCCCCCCCCCCCCCCCCCCCGGGCTGTAAAAACATAAAAATAACGAAGAATAACATCTAAAATAATGTTTTAAAAGCTGCAAAGTAAATAAATCGTAGACAGATTTAGATTAAGCCTATTGCACTTCAGATAAAGTCACATAAGTGTTGTCTTTGATTCTGTATTTCTGTTTCTGCT